ATATAGGAATATTGTTTTTTTTTTTTTAAAGATTCGCCGAAGACCTAAAAGAAAAACGAATCATTGAAAATGTTCAATATTTCACTAAGTCCATAATCCGATATTTGTATTTACTATTTATACACATTATCCCCGATAACCGGAATCGTAAGTAGTACAAGCTTTCTCTCTCTATATACTTCTTTTTTGTTTCTTTTCTTAAGAATGTGGACCATTTCTCGGTTTATGAGTGTCATCTATGCACAGGGGCCCTGCTAAGTCTTTGCTGTATTGTTCCAATTTTAACGGATGTTTCTTAGTCTGTGGTAGAGTGGAATCTCGCCCCCAAGAGGAGGGGTATCTCCTTTTACTGATGCGTGCTTGGATCGGCTTTGGGGGGTCCCTTGTATGAGTTCGTCGTTAATTAATAATGTCACTGTTTTCGGATGTCGATGTGTCGGTTTTGCAGTCGGATAACAAGCTGAAGAAGTTTCTCCATATCATTAGCGACTCTCCGGTTTTCCCTGTCATTTATGACAGTAAAAGGTGCGCATCTTGCTGTTAGAGGACAAGAAGAAGAAAGCTGTTACGATCCTGGTCATCCCCAAAGTGCAATTTCATAATGAAAGACAATGCCACCCAATTGCGAAAGAAATGAAAGAGACCAAAGAAGAGAGAAAGAAGAAGAAGAAGAAGAAGATGTACACCAGCAAGACCAATGACAAATCCCCCTTCTCTCTCCACCTTCCTCCTTCTCCTTAACTTCGCCAATCTTATTCTTCTTCCCATTAATAATAATAACAATGAGTGGATGAACCAGAATCAATATCCCAAGTTCCCTCTTACTGCTGACACAACAACAACAACAACAACAGGTCCACTATAGCTATGGCTTCCCCACTTCTCCCACCTCTCACAAGCCTCGGCTATGGCGGACAACTGAGGGCTCTGCCCCTCTCTGTGCAAAGGACAACACAAAGCAGCTATGGCGCTGCACTCCTGTCCAAAGGACAACCCAAAGCAGCTATGCCGCTGCTGACTAAGCCGCCATGCCTGACTCTGCCTCGAGCTTCCTTGGTGCGGCACTACCCCAACTGGGGCCTTCCCGATGCAGCGCCCAACAAGGTGATGAAGATGGTGTCCACCATAGCCAGGTAGTACCTCGTCACTCTCCTCCTTCGCCCCCTTCTTCCTCCTCCTCCGGCTGGGCTGCTTGCCATAGCCAGGATGAGCGCCCAGCTGCCCTTCACCTCCAGGCAGCGCTGTTCCAGTCCAGCGCTGTGCTCCAGCAGCATGTCGCCAATCCTTGCATACTGCAAATGAGAGGAGGAGCTGCTTGCTCCTCCCGAAGATATAGCGGCCTACTGGCCTCTTGGGCGCTGACTTCCTAGGCCGAGCGGCCTCCCAGCAACTGGTACCTCCTCCCTTTCGGAGGGAAACATCATTGCAGGCTGTGCTATCGTCCGGACAGGCCCTAGACCCGGGCTACTTGGACTGGTACCGGCCTACCTCTAACCTACCGCTACTGGGCCTCTAAAAATGCCAACTTTTTGTCTTCTTCTGCTCAGCCTCCAGTACCCGACACTTCTACCACTACTTGAGTGGTACCGGCCTACCTGCTACTTGACTGTTTTTCCCGCTGCTGTAAGTGTTGCGGGCCTACCCCCGCTACTTGAGTGTTTTTCTCCGCTGCAACCCTCAAAGTCACGGCCACAGGTAAGCACCGGCCCTGCGGGGCCTTTCAACCAACAAGTACCCTTGCGGGTCACACACACACTCAGCCGACAAGCACTCAGACAGGCATGCAAACCATCAGGCACACACAGACTTGGAAACCAAAGCAGAATGCGGGAATCTCAGCAAGGCATTCATTCCAGCGGCAAATCCCAGAAATCAGCAGTGTTCTCAGTCTGTGTTTTTGGCGGGTCATTGCAAAGCAGTGAAACAGGAAAAAGCCGGCCTCATTGATTTACAAGTTCTTTTTCTCCATACATGTTGTTTTGGCAAGAAAGAGAGAGAGAGAGAGAGAGAGAGAGAGAGAGAGAGAGAGAGAGAGAGAGAGAGAGAGAGAGAGAGAGCTAGAGAGCTGCAAACGAAAGCAGGTGTGGAGGGAAAAAAAAAGAGTGGTCATCCTCTCTGCATCTCGCATCTGCTTTTTTCTTTTTTGTTTTTTTTCTTTGCGAAGGAATTGATTGGTAACATGACTATTCTCTGACCGAAGGCGCAGTGGTTAATTTTTTTATTTTTTTTTGCCTGTGTTGGTAGTTTTTTTCTTCCTGAACAGGACTGAGAGAAACGTCATAACTTGTTCTTCTCTTTCAGGTGCTTATCATCCCCAGCGCATCCAGCAGCAGCCCGTGTGCGTTATCCTGCACGGCAGTTTTGTTCAGCGAGGCGAGAGAGAGAGAGAGAGAGAGAGAGAGAGAGAGAGAGAGAGAGAGAGAGAGAGAGAGAGAGAGAGAGAGAGCGGTGGCTAAGGCATTGGAGTGAACTATCTTCTTTGCCTCGACGGAAATCATGGTTTGCCTATGGGTAGTTAATAATTAATGGCACACATACCCAGCACAAGTGGCTGAATGATACACGGACAGGTGACTGATGACAAACAGATCACGAGTTCAAAACGTAGTCAGATCGGTAGAATAAAGTTAGGGGCTCTACTCCATTTTCAGGATTCCCTTCTTCTGCCCATCAGAATTCTTCTGACATCTGTGCGTATGTTGTTGTTCTCTCTGGCTCGATGGTCTTCTCTTTCTCTCTCCCTCCCTCTCTCTCTCTCTCTCTTTCTCTCTCTCTCTCTCTCTGTGGCGGAAATAGATATGCAATGAGATGAGATTCTCTCCTTCTTCCCATCAGAAAAATCTTCTGACATCTGTGCGTATGTTGTTGTTCTCCCTGGCTCGATGGTCTTCTCTCTCTCTCTCTCTCTCTCTCTCTCTCTCTCTCTCTCTCTCTCTCTCTCTCTCT